ATGTCCATTGTAACTTCGGGTCGTACACTAAAAGTCATGTCCCCCGCACTTAGATCCAAGTCTTCCATTGGCAATTCCTAAAACTATTGGCTCGGCATTTACCAGAAATCAGCATATGAAACGCTGGGTGACTGATTGGGGAATCGAAACCCTCGCATTTGCGTCATGCAGCAGCAGCAGCAGCAGAAACGTTGGTGAAACACGTGTCTAGCTAGTACCCATGATGTGAGCACGGTATAACCTCTGTCATACGCGTGGCACCCTAACTTTGGGCTGTCAAAGTGTCTGTACCAGAGATTTTTTCTACTCCACAAAGACTTGGATTGGACAGTTAGGTCGACCGATGAGTTTTTTACACCTATCCAACATCCAAAAGTGGGGGTAGACTAGATGGCTGTCATTTGACGTGATCTCGGTATTAAACTCTATCTTATCCGGCCTGGTCATCAACACTGTTGAAGGCCTCCTTCGGTGAAAATACGATGAGACCGACCAATAGCTCAAGCGAGTGCACAACATCGAGCCCCTGGAACCGGGTCTTAAGACTTTCTTCAACGGTCAGGTTTGACAGCAAAAGAAGGGGACAACGATGGGCTCACCTCTGTCCGAACTAACTGCGGAAGCGATTTTGCAGAGGTTCGAACGACTGTTCTTCAGCTCCTACCCCGGAAGCTCTGGGCCAAATATGTCCTGAACACATTCGCCATAGTCAAAAGGGATGACGAGCAGGCTTTCAAGGCATTGTTGTATCCACACACACTCTCTTTCTCTCTCGCTCTCTCTCTCTGGACATTCAGTCTACCATGAAGGAAGAAGCAAACAATCACCTGCCCCAGTTACAAAGATTGCAGACGGGGAGATAAGGAAAGGGGTCTACCGCAAGGTAATTAACACTAAGCGCATCCTACACTATAGAAGCAACCACCCCGTGAGCCACTGACGCTGTTGCGTCAGGACCCTCTTCCAGCGCGTTCAAACACACTGTAGGGACGACAGTGGGAGGAAGGAGGAAATGAAGTACGTGCATGCTTTAATTAAAACCAACGGCTAGCCGAGGCAATTCATGTGAAAATGCGTCCGGAAACCCCACGCTAAGCAGTCAGGGGAAGAAGAGCCTAAGTTCCGGCTGTCTATCCCCTGTCGAAGAACATTTCGGAAGTGAGGGTAAGAATCCTGAAACCTTTCATGATTACCGTGACTCATAAACTTCACTACACAGATAATGAGGCCCAAAGACCTGCCACAGTGACAGGCCAATCAGTGGTGGTCTACGGCATACATGCGAAAATTGAGATACGAGGTATGTTGGCGAAACGGCGGAACGTCCTGTCACAGACTTGCACGAACATCAGCTTTAAATCAACCACAAGAATAAGCTTTCGCTGGTCTATTGCCAAATACAACGACAGGACCACAGTTTCGCCTTTCAGAAGCCGAGGGTGGTCGGCCGAGCCAATGACCAGACTGATGATGGAAATAAGGTCCTCACAATTAACTGGAACACTGCACCTGCATCCCACATACCAGGCGCTCCGAAAGAGGCTCAAGTCAGTTCAGACAGGGCCAATTGAGCGGGCGAAAAAAGTCAGACGGAGCGACGGCCGACTGTCGCGGAGACGAAAGAAGACGTCGACTGGAAGTCACGTGATCGGCGTGGTGTCTCACCGACGCACCCTCGAGGCCGGAAGCACCACGCCTGAGCAACAACGATCGACCGGCCCGCCGTCTTAAGGGGGGGGGGGGAAGGTTAATAAGCCCGCCAACGCAGCGGCAACCATGGCAGCTGCGAAGGGGACGCAAGTCACGCATATACGACAATGGTCGAACTCGGAGAAACCAAAATCAGTCGAAAGCAAACAGGCAGACGGAAAGCATGTGCGTTGAGCACGGTTATAACACGCGGCAGGCGGCAAGACTGAATAACCGTGGGTCCCCTCGCAGCTGTGTCATGCAGCGGTAGAATGTCTGTGACAGACGCATCCGGGCTTTTGGCTAGTACCAGCTGGTGGTCAGGGTTATGATTGTCGGAATGAAGGCAAACAAGCCCGAAACAGTGCTGTATCAATCTACCTCCCAGACTCTATCGT